TGCACCCTGAAGCACTTTTTTTATCTGGGCAGTACAAACTGCTTTACTGGTCCCATGGAATGCCAATGGCTTGCCTCCTTCCTCAACCTCCAAGAAGCCCGAGTGTTAGAGAATCACCAGGTTCATATGCACACTGTGCAGTAACAGACCAATACACGGAGACAGCAAGATTTGCAGCACAGAAAGAGTTTAATGATCACGGAGTGACCCAGCAAGCAGATGGGAAGGGCCCTCAAATCCAACTCCCCAAAAAGTTCTGGGCTGGATTTTTTGTTTATTGGGCTAGTCAGTTGAAGCAGTGGGAGTGGAGAAGAAACAAAGACATCTGTAACTGGTTGTGATCAATTAGTTGTAAGCATCACTGCACTTGGACCTACCCTAGGCTGGGATTTTTAAGGGGATTGTGGCATGCAAGAGGCTGAAAAATTGGGGTTATTGATTGATTGAGGTACAGGGGATTAAATCATCAGGATGTGAAAACTACCTTCTTGGGTGAGTCAGCTACTACTGGGGTCCTTCAGAGCAACTGAAGTCAGTAGTTTCACTGTTATGCGGGACCTGAAATAATATCTCAAAGGCAAAAATTAACATTTTTTAATGTTCAAGTTTTTATCTATAGAGCGGTTAAGGGGAATTATCATCTAGGGTTTACAGGATTCTAGGACACTAGGCATCAAACAACTATGAATGGGGTAGGCATGGTTGCTCACACCTGTAATCCTAGCATTTTGGGAGTCTGAGGCGAGTGAATTGCTTGATCCCAGGAGTTTGAGACTATTCTGGGTAACATACTGAGACTCCATCTCCATTTTAAAAAATAAAAAACAAAAGACTTTGAGGAGAGGTCAGAGAGCAAGCTGACCTACTCATTAATTCTGAATGTGCAGCACGCTTTGTTTGTTTTGATTTTCTCCTTCCCTCCATCATTGATTAATTTGACGAAATTTATCAGGGCCTCTTCCATTGACTGCTAGGAAGTCATCTCTTCTGGTAAATCTTTAGTAGGCCAAGCATCTCTTATGGCTAAAATGATCTAGTCCATAAGGGAATACCATCACACTCTGTGTCCCACAATTTGATGATCCAAGTGGTCAGGGGAATCCCCAGGTAGGATGGTTTCATTTCTTTTTTTTTTATTATTATTTTTTGAGACGGAGTCTCGCTCTGTCGCCCAGGCTAGAGTGCAGTGGCTGGATCTCAGCTCACTGCAAGCTCTGCCTCCTGGGTTTACACCATTCTCCTGCCTCAGCCTCCGGAGTAGCTGGGACTACAGGCACCCGCCACCTCGCCCGGCTAGTTTTTTTTTGTATTTTTCAGTAGAGACGGGGTTTCACTGTGTTAGCCAGGATGGTCTCAATCTCCTGACCTCGTGATCCACCCGTCTCGGCCTCCCAAAGTGCTAGGATTACAGGCTTGAGCCACTGCGCCTGGCCGGTTTCATTTCTTTTCTTTTCTTTCTTTTTTTTTTGAGGTGGAGTTTCACTCTGTTGTCCAGCTTGGAGTACAATGGTGCGATCTCAGCTCACTGTAACCTCTGCCTCCTGGCTTCAAGTGATTCTTCTGCCTCAGCCTTCTGAGTAGCTGGGATTACAGATACACACCACCATGTCCAGCTAATGTTTTGTATTTTTAGTAGAGATGGGGTTTCACCATGTTGGCCAGGCTAGTCTTGAACTCCTGACCTCAGGTGATTCATCTGCCTCGGCCTCCCAAAGTGCTGGGATTACCGGCATGAGCCACTGCTCCTGGCCTTTTTTTTTTTTTTTTTGAGACGGAGTCTCGCTCTGTCACCCAGGTGCAATCTCGGCTCACTGCAACCTCCACTTCCCAGGTTCAAGCAGTTCTACTACCTCAGCTTCCCGAGTAGCTGGGACTACAGGCGCCTACCACCACACCCGGCGAATTTTTTGTATTTTTAGTAGAGACGGGGTTTCACCATGTTAGCCAGGATGGTCTCAATCTCCTGACCTCGTGATCCATCCACCTCAGCCTTCCAAAGTGCTGGGATTACAGGCGTGAGCCATGCCCAGCTTGGTTTCATTTTGTGGCCCAGGCTGGAGTACAGTGGCCTGATCATAGCTCTCTGTAGCCTTGGACAACTGGGTTCAAGTGATCCTCCCACTGCAGCCTCTTGAGTAACTTGGGACTACAGGCACAGGACACCTTACCAGGCTAATTTTGCTCTCTCTCTTTTTTTTTTTTTTTTTTTTTTGTATTTGAGATGGAGTGAAATGTTGCCCAGGCTGGAGTGAAATGGCACGAACTTGGCTCACAGCAAACTCTGCCTCCCAGATTCAAGTGATTCTCCTCCCTCAGCCTCCCAAGTAGCTGGCATTACAGGCATGTGCCACCATGCCTGGCTAATTTTGTATTTTATTAGAGATACGGTTTCTCCATGTTTGTTAGGCTGGTCTGGAACTCCCGACCTCAGGTGATCCACCTGTCTCGGGCTCCCAAAGTGTTGTGATTACAGGCATGAGCCACCGCGCCTGACCTTCTTTTTGTTTTTTGTTTGTTTATTTGTTTGTTTTGTTTTTTTATAGAGACAGGGTCTCGCTCTTTTGCCCAGGTTGGTCTTGCTCTGGTCAGGCTGGTCTCCAACTCCAGCTTCAAATGATCCTCTCCCCTTTCTCTGGTCAGGCTGTCTCCAACTCCCAGCTTCAAGCGATCCGCTCCCCTTGGCCTCCCAAACTTCTGGGATTACATATGTGAGCCATGGCAATGGGCCTTCCAGGTATTTATGGAAAGATTTTGCAACCTCTAAGAGTTCTGCAGCAGTATATTACCTGACAATGAGAGTCCCCTGCATCCTTTCACCGCATGTTGCAGAAGTAGTTGTGCTTTCCCCTTTTGTTTGCATAGTAGGACAAGCATGTCAATGATCCTCATCCTCCTCTTCATCAATGACTTCTTTGTCATCAGTCTTCCTCTTCATAAATTGCCAAGGAATCCAAGTTCTCACATCTCAATCGGACTTATTTATGATAGTATCAGCTATCATAAGTCTGCATCAGCTCCCACAGCTCCAGGCTCCATCAAGCCTGCCTCTTTTTTCTTCCCCACAGTCCTGTCCCAGAAGCCCCCAGCTCTGCTCATCAGGTGCCTTAGGCTGTATGGCTGCACTGCTGCTGGGCCCAGGCTATCTGTCCCTGCAGCCCCTTCCCTAACCCATTCCCAGCCCAGTCCCGCCCCACTGGTATCTCTAGTGTCCCTGGCAGCTAGTGCCTCAGTCACCGCTGCCACAGCGATTTGGAAGTCTTTTAATGCAGTTAAATTATCTTAGTTTTTTCTCTCCCACTTTATATGTACGTACAGGAGGAAAGCAGGGTTTCTGCTGGTGTCTTATTCACACAGTGGGATTGTAGGTGTTGGTCTCATGGAAGTGATCATTGGGGGAAAGAAGCAGGTGAATAACCTGCAGGGGGCAGGAGAGCCCAAGACCAGCCTGGAGCCTGCAAAGGGAGGGAAATGGAGCTCCCTTGGGTGTTCCTGAGCAGCTCCAGGAGTGGATTCTGAGAATCTGCAGAGCCCTGGAACACAGGAGACCCAAGTGCAGATGCATTTGGGGTGGGGGACAGGGGGCATGCAGCAGGGGAGGTGTTCTGTCATTTCTGAGGTTGGACCTCAGGAGCCTGTGGCCATTTGGAGGGCAGTGTTTTTGGTTTTGGCATGCATAGGGTCACTGGGGTCAGGCTGTAATTTGTATATAGGAAGAAAATCTGTGAAGGTCAGTTTGAGAGAATTGTTTGAAACATCACCTGGAGAAAGGGTTTATGAAGTTGACAGTTTATTTAGGTCAAAAGCTTAAACTGACCCCAAGGGATAGTTCCCTGCTGTTGAAAATGAAGTTCTGGCTGGGCGCGATGGCTCACGCCTGTAATCCCAACACTTTGGGAGGCCAAGGCGGGCGGCTCACGAGGACAGGAGATGGAGACCATCCTGGCTAACAAGGTGAAACCCCGTCTCTACTAAAAATACAAAAAATTAGCCGGGCGTGGTGGCGGGCGCCTGTAGTTCCAGCTACTTGGGAGGCTGAGGCAGGAGAATGGCGTGATCCGGGAGGCGGAGCTTGCCGTGAGCCGAGATCACGCCACTGCACTCCAGCCTGGAGGACAGAGACAGACTCCGTCTCAAAAATAAAAAAATTAAAAAAAGAAAGAAAGAAAGAAAAGAAAATGAAGTTCTGGAAGGAGGGAGTGTTCCCATACTGTGAGGAGAGATGGTAGATGTGTGAGGAAGCGTTGTCCATGCCTCATCCCCTATTCCTGTCCCCCTGGAGGACATCTGTCTCTCTTTCCTGGTCTAGTCGTGCCTGGCCTGGTCTCGGTTCCCCTCCTGCTCTGAGGCAAACAGATCGCCCCATCAGACACTGAGTCTGGAATCCCCTGCATACACCTGTGACCTGATGCAGGAGGAAGGAGCAGAGAAAGCCCATTGAGTGAAGGAGAGGTCAGTGCCCTTTCTAAAGTTCAGGAAAGAGGCCAGGCGCGGTGGCTCACGTAATCCCAGCACTTTGGGAGTCCGAGGCGGGCGGATCACCTGAGGTCAGGAGCTCGAGACCAACCTGACTAACATGGTGAAATCCTGTCTCTACTAAAAATAACAAAAATTAGCTGGGCGTGGTGGCAGGTGCCTGTAATCCCAGCTACTCAGGAGGCTGAGGCGGGAGAATCGCTTGAACCCGGGAGGCAGAGGTTGCAGTGAGCCGAGGTCGCGCCATTACACCTTCAGCCTGGGCGAGAAGAGCGAGACCCCGTTTCAGTTAATCAATCAACCAATCAATTATATATATATATATATGAAGTTCAGGAAAGTTTGGCGGAAATGCAAATATCCAAGGATCAAGGCACAGGGAGGGAGGTGGGCCTTAAAAAGGAAGTGAATAGAACCAGTCTGGCGCCGCAGGGCCCCATTATCCCGGGCTTCTGCTGTCACTCAGGGCTCAGAGGGCGAGGCGGGGCGCACGGTCCAATCAGGAGCGCCGGGGCGGGACCCTGACAACTGTTTTTCTTGGGAAGGAGAAGGCGGCGCACGCCCGCGGTCTCTTTTGTTGTTGTGGTAACGACCGTTGGAACTCTTTGAACTCTCGGCTCTGAGAGGCTCCAGGTTTCTCCGCCAGAGCTCCTGTCGCTCTGTCACCTGCGCTGTGTTCCTCTCTAGTCGCAGGAGCCCTGGGGAATAAAGTTGGGAGCTCAGGCATGGTGAGTGTGTGGGGCCAGGCATCCTGAGGCGGGGGCGAAGGGCTGATTAGAACCGGCTGTGGCAGGTACCGGGCCTCCCCGCGGAGACGCCGGGGTCTGTGGGGCTGGGCCGGCATCCCTGACCCGGGGCATCCTGTCTCGTCCCTGCGCAGCGACTGCGGCCCCGGCCCCGGTCCCGGCCCCGGAGCCCATTTTGGGCAACTCCGAGCCCTCAGCCGCGGGTCTCCTCAGGTTGTGCTGGGCCATGGGGAGGATCATGGGGGGAATCCCGTCTCGGGTGTGGGGTTCTTGCGTCAGAAAAGCGGTGGTCTGTGGGGTCCCCAGTCGTCTTTTCTCCTCTTAAAAGTTAAAATGGCAGGGCGCGGTGGCTCACGCCTGTAATCCCAGCACTTTGGGAGGCCAAGGCAGGCGGGTCACCTGAGGTCAGGAGTTCGAGACCAACCTGACTAACATGGAGAAACCCCCGTCTCTACTAAAAATACAAAATTAGCTGGGCGTGGTGGCGTGTGCCTGTCATCCCAGCTACTCGGCAGGCTGAGGCAGAATCGCTTGAACCCGGGAGGTGGAGGTTGCAGTGAGCCGAGATCACACCACTGCACTCCAGTCTGGGCAACAAGAGTGAAACTCCACCTCAAAAAAAAAAAAAAAAAAAAAAAGAGGCGCTGATAAAAATTCAAGAGTTTGTGCAAATGGGAATTCAGGAATGAGAAGCACGCAGTCATGGTGTGTGGTTTGTTTCCAGAAATGTGGAAATATTGCAGTTGAGTTGGATTTCAGTGCCCTCAGGTAGGACCTTAGTGCACTGCACACACTTCAGTCTGATTACTTAAGGTTTTTCCCACTGCCCACATGGACTGGTTTCCCCCTCCATTTTCCAAATCTGTGGTCTGCAGGGTCTCACAGCTTCCCCGCTATGACCCCAGCCTAACTCTTTAAAGGCTTGCGGTAGCATCTTACATTTTCAGTTCCCTTCTCATATTTCCAAACATTAACTTCCCTTCTCCAATTCACAGTATTATCAACTATTTGTCTTTTTTTTTTTTTTTTTTTTTTTAAGATGGAGTCTCAGTCACCCAGGCTGAAGTGCAATGGTGCGATCTCGGTTGCAGCAATCTCTGCCTTCTGGCTTCAAGCGATTCTCTTGCTTCAGCCTCCCAGAGTAGCTGGAATTACAGGCGTCCACCAGCATGCCCGGCTAATTTTTGTATTTTTAGTAGAGACAGGGTTTCACCAGGTTGGCCAGGCTGGTCTCGAACTCCTGACCTGAAGTGATCCACCCAGCTCGGCCTCCCAAAGTGCTGGGATTACAGGCGTGAGCCAGCTGTCCGGCCTATTTGTTCTATATTGTACAATATATTCACCCTTTCCTTCAAACAGATGAAGCATTTTAATGGTTTCTTAATTTTTTTTTTAACAGAACCACGGGTGACTTTTAAAAATGTTTCTATTTCTGAACATTTCACATAAGAGGAAAGTAGAAAATAACGTCTTGACACTCCAGTGAAAAAAAACCCTTGTTCCTTTCCTCGTGTTATCTTTCCTTAGGGCACAAACACCTGCTCCGAATATCTTGCACTTGAGGTTTTGTTACCTGAAAGAAGGTTGTGAGTGTGAGCTGTCCAGGTCCTTGGCATTTTGAACGAATAATTGAACAAAACGCACTAACAAAGTAACTAATGAAACACAGGAAGGAAGCAACGAAAGAAAAGCAGAGATTTATTAAAGGGAGAAAGCACTCCAAGATGGGAGTGGGCCCAGCAAGTGGCTCAAGGACTCAGTTACAAAGTTTTCTAGGTTTTAAGCACTCCTTTTGAGGTCCCTTTTGGCTACCCCTTCTCTTGATGTAGGATTTAGTCCTGGATGAAGGATTTGGTCCCTGGCTAATTAAAGGCTGAGGTTAATTGATGCCCTATGCAGATACACTTTTCCTTTCCATCTGAGAAGGTGGAAGGGGAAGGGTTGTAAAGAGAGAGTAGTCTTTGATCCCATGGGTGAGATGGGATTTTTCCTTTTGGTTTAGCTTTTGGAAGTTGGCATTAATTGGCTTTAGGTTCCCTGCCCCCAGACCCAGGTGTTTTCCTTTTGATCCAGCTTTGGGAAGTCAGCATTTATTGGCCTTAGATTCCCTGACCCCAGACTTTGGTGTTTTTCCTTGATTCAGCTTTAGGAACTCGGCACAAATTGGCCTTAAGTTCCCTGCCTCCAGACCCTATTCTCTTGCCTCAGTTCCCCTTTGGAAACTTTGTGGGGTGATGTGTCTTCAGGAGACCCCTCCTATCTTTTCCTGATGTTGGGGTTTAGAACTGCCTGGGGCTACCCCAACATGCCCACACTTGCCATGTCTCTAGGAGGGTTTAGAGAGTATCACCCTTGGGGCCACTCTTCCCACAAGTTAGCATGTGGTGTGGGGGTGGGGCCTCCAAAGAGAGCCACTGAATTTTCCGGGGTGAAAGGAGATGACTGGTACACTCTTCATCTAGTTAGCCAACTCCTTGCCATGCTCAGCTTTTCTCCTCCAACTCCAGTTTCTGTTACTTTGAAACGTGGCTAGTCAGCCAATTGGATGGTGCTATTGAAGGAAAAGAGAAATGATTCCTGTCGTCTGGATTCTCTCAGACTAGTGGAAAAGAGAAATGATTCCTGTCGTCTGGATTCTCTCAGACTAGTGAATGAGGAATATGATTCCACAGGACAATGAAAACCCACCCCAACAGGGTGAAGCAAATCAAAATGTATGTGGGGTACACAGTGCGGTGGGGAATGATACAATACAGTGTTGACGAGAAACCGTCATTGAGCACATCAGTGAGCAGGATGGCAGTAGGATTTTGACAACTACAAGTGTCATATACCCACCAGTTTTGTTTGTTTGTTTGTTTTGAGACAGGATTTCACTCTTGTTGCCCAGGCTGGTGTGCAGTGGCTCAATCTCAGCCCACTGCCGCCTCTGCCTCCTGGGTTCAAGCAACTCTCCTGTCTCAGCCTGCTAAGTAGCTGGGATTACAGGTGCCGGCTAATATTTGTATTTTTAGTAGAGACAGGGTTTCACCATGTTGGCCAGGCTTGTCTCGAACTCCTGACCTCAGATAATCCACCCGCCTTGGCCTCCCAGAGTGCTGGGATTACATGCATGATCCCAGCCTGTAATCCCACACCTGGCCCACCAGTCTTATTTATTTACTGAGATGGAGTCTCACTCTGTTGCCCAGGCTGGAGTGCAATGGTGTGATCTTGGCTCACTGCAATCTCTGTCTCCCGGGTTCAAGTGATTCTCCTGCCCCAGCCTCCCAAGTAGCTGGGATTGCAGGTGCGTGCCACCACACCTGGATAATTTTGTATTTTAGTAGAGATGGGGTTTCACCATGTTGGTCAGGCTGTTCTCGAACTCCTGACCTCAGGTGATCCACCTGCCTTGACCTCCCAAAGTGCTGGGATTACAGGTGCAAGCCACTGTGCTCGGCCTGTACCCACCAGTCTTATACAAAAGAGTTTCACTGCCCTAAAAATCCCTTTTGCTTCATGTAGTCATCACACTTCCCTCCCTCTCTTCTACTAACCCCTTAATCCCTTTGCACAACCGATGATTTTATAGCCTCTAGAGTTTTGCCTTGTCCAGAATGTCATGTACCTGGAATCATGTTGTAAGTAGCCATTTCGACCTGTTCGTTTCATCTAAAAATACGCATTTAAAGTATCTTTGTGTCTTTGTGGCTTGATAACAGATTTATTATGTCTTTGTTTTACAAAATTTTAAAGAGATGGGGTCTCACTATGTGTTGCCCAGTGTGGTGGGCGGATCATGAAGTCAGGAGATCGAGACCATCCTGGCTGGCACGATGAAACCCCGTCTCTACTAAAAAAAAAAAAAAAATACAAAAAATTAGCCGGGCGTGATAGTGGGTGCCTGTAGTCCCAGCTACTCAGGAGGCTGAGGCAGGAGAATAGCGTGAACCTGGGAGGCGGAGCTTGCAGTGAGTGGAGATTGCGCCACTGTACTCCAGCCTGGGTGACAGAGCGAGACTCTGTCTCAAAAAAATAAATAAAAATAAAAGTAAATAAATAATAAAATAAAAAATAAAAATTACATTTGGCCTGGCATGGTGACTCATTCCTGTGATCTCAGCACTTTGGGATTTACCCTATACCTATTTGGGCACACAAATCCTATAGCTGGAGGTAACCCCCTTAGGGAGTGAGGAGAATCATGGAAGTTAGGAGTGGTAATTTATTACATATATAGATAATAATAATGTTTTGTGTATATTAGGTTAAATAGTATAAATATTGTAATTGCTAGATTTACATGAATTGATAGGTTTAGGATTGTGAAAGAAGGATTAGATGTTAAAATTGTGATTATTTAATTTGTTGTGAGCAATTGCTGAATAGGCCAAGATATTTCAGAGTTGTTTGGTTAAGGCCCCCTTAACCAATCTCCCATAGTGTTGCAATCTCCCATAGTATGCTTAAGTCTGTTGATGGGTACTCTTGAAATAAAATGGAGATTGGTGCTAGTTTTTGTCATGTAAGGAGAATTACACTTGATATTAGTTAGACCCCTTGCATTACTTCAGAAGTAAAAGGGGGATAGTCCTAATTTTATCAACAGTGCTATGATAATTATAAGGGATACTGTTTGGTTTAGGGCTTTTGTGATCATTGTCTGGAGTGTATCATACTGTTGTTGATAACTACTAGGATCTCCTTGGATTAGAGATGCTGTTGCTTACGTAAGGAACTACTTTGGTGGTGACTTCTGTGGAACAGGCACTTTTCAGTTAGAATGGGGATAATGGCTAGCGTATTTCTAACCTGATTCAGATTAGGAGCCAATGTGAGTCCATTATTGTAGTCAGAGTCTCTGTGAAAATAGTATAAAAAGAATAGTGAGGAGATGTAGGGGATGAATTTGAATGGGAAGGATATAAACCAGCATTTTCAAGGTATGGGCTGGGTAGCTTATTTAACTGACCCTACTGTAGGATATGGTGTCCTTGGTA